AACTTTCTTATTATTACCACTACCAACACTGACACAGATCTTTCAAGTTCTCCTTGTATTTTTCATTTAGTTGTATCCCTATCAATCTGAAACTTTCTTATTATTACCACTACCAACACTGACACAGATCTTTCAAGTTCTCCTTGTATTTTTCATTTAGTTGTATCCTATCAATCTGAAACTTTCTTATTATTACCACAACCTATACTGACACAGATCTTTCAAGTTCTCCTTGTATTTTTCATTTAGTTGTATCCCTATCAATCTGAATCTTTCTTATTATTACCACAACATACACTGGTACAGATCTTTCAAGTTCTCCTTGTATTTTTCATTTAGTTGTATCCCTATCAATCTGAAACTTTCTTATTATTACCACTACCTTCACTGACACAGATCTTTCAAGTTCTCCTTGTATTTTTCATTTGGTTGTATCCCTATCAATCTGAAACTTTCTTGTTATTACCACTACCTACACTAACACAGATCTTTCAAGTTCTCCTTGTATTTTTCATTTAGTTGTATCCCTATCAATCTGAAACTTTCTTAATATTACCACTATCTACACTCACACAAACTGTTCAAAGATTACATCCTGGGGTCGGTTGTTCAAAGGTGGATTAGCGCTAACCCAGGATTAAAATTTAGCCCGCTGTTTTAGTTTGCATATTTCTACATGTCCATTTATTTCAAAATGTCAGAAAAGAAAACTCCTATTGATCCAGACATGATTTGTGAAAAAAATATTTTCAAATTTCAAAACAAATTGTTAACCTAGGGTTAAGCTAATCGGTTTTTGAACAACTCGCCCCTGTATTGTTAGATGCAAAATATTTGGGTCTGTTTGAAGTTTGACTCTGTTCAAAGTTTTTATCCGACATTGTTCCACACTTCGACACGATATTTTTGGGTCTGCTTTCATGACATGTTTAGTAGGATCATTCAACATTTTTTGGTCTTTTTATACACGATATGTTTCGTTTTGTTTGCTAATGAATGCCAGCTGATGTTGGAGCAGATTTGACAAATTGACTTTATTCAAAATTTTCATCCGACATTGTTGGACTGACCATGTGGAACAGGTTTGAACCAATGGTTTGAACGGAGACTAAATTCCCTAATAAGTCAAGACGATTGTTAAAAACGTCGATTATTTAAACTTTCTTATCAAGATCACCAAATTTTTACATTTTAAAAATATATGAGGTATGTTAGGAGGTACTACACCTAGTTATATACTGCATATCAGGATCATAGATATCTTATATACACTAGATAGTGCATCTAATTATTCTGCAATTCAAAAATTGAAGCCGTGAGTGCAGGCTCAGGATATTCCCATGAAATGAGAAGACTCGTATGTTTTCTATTTCTTAAAGAGGGAACTTAAACATTAAGTTAAACCTATTCCAAATACATTTTCAAATTATTCAAATGATGAAAGTTATTGTTGTTTTTTAAGCGTTTATTAGCGAGTGGGAAATACCAACATGGCCGCCATCTATTCAAATTGGGGTAACCGCTGGAATATTCTTGGCTTCAATTTTACTAAAGGAGATGCGCTATCTAGTGTATTTAAGATATCTATGATCAGGATTTGGGGTATTCTGCACAGAACTGATTGGAGAAGGATTTTGTGGATGGAGATTTCGTGTGTGAATTTTACGCAGGCTCGATTCCTGCCAGAGGATCTATAGTTGTATTTTTAACAACTGCTCCTTGTTTGGCTACTTAGGTCTAATAAATGTATAAAATTCACACTCAAAATCTATTCAAAACCCTTCTACAATTTGTTACTGTTTTGAGCGTATCACAGCCGCCATGTTGGTGTTCCAATTCAAAAGAATTTTAATTAGACTCTTTTGTCTGGAACACCAACATGGCCGCGCCATATGGCTTTTTTGTTGAGTTGGTCCCTGGGAATGAGTGGAAACGCTCTATATGACTTTCATCTCTGTGAACGAGAGCGTATTCAGCGAACCGGGCTGACGCTCTACCAATACACCCTTCCTGAAAGTACTCAGCCTTGGTTATATAGCCTCGTTTTCATGATTTGAGATATTGGATTTAGAGTCTTTATCTTGGTACAGATGGACACATTTACGAAATCATGCAGTTATATTAGACACTATAAAAGACCTAAATTTACTTAGGTCATCAGCAATAAGATAAAGAGCTATAATGCCGATATCTCAATCCCGACAACGAGCTCTATAGACAAGGCTAAGTACTTTCCGGAAGTGTTAGGTATTGAGTCAACTGGGGAGAGCACAAGTTCAAATCCATATTTATGCGCACAAGATATTCTCGCGACTTAGGCCTGTTTTATTTGTCGAATTTCGGTCGCATTGAATGCAATTCAAACAATAGATAATGAAGCTTAATGAGGTTTATCATCTCATTGTCTATTGTCTCGATTGCATTCGACGCGACCACATATAAAACCGGCCTTAAGCCTGTTTCGCACGAATGATTAAAAATCTAATTACACAGTTCGAGTCAAGAGCTCATAATACAAAAGATTCGCACGAACAAATTCAGGCTTAAAGGCAGTTTTCCACTAGGTGGAATTTTTCAACCAAATCGAAATTTTCTTTTGTCTTACAAGCACTCAGATGGAACGAAACAGAAATCTTTTGAATTTGAACAATAGATATTTAGGTTCGATCGAAACATTTCGCTTAGCCGTTGTGGAAAACCACCATAAAGGCGGTTTTCCACTAGGCGAAATTTTTCGACCGAAACGAAATTTCTCTTTGTCTTTTTACAATTAGTTCTGCTTGACAGCTCATGAAACAAAGAGAAATTTCGATTCGGTCG